TGCGTTTGCCCACGCGTCAGGATGTGCTAGAAGATCCTATTCTTTCCGACAAGCTTCCGGGCACAGGAAGTCTCGCTTCCCACAGGGTTCGTACAGTATAGTCGAGAAACTTGAATATCCATTAGGATCGCGCGGTAACGTTAGCCACGTTAGCGCTCGAGCAAGAAGGAGGATCTAGTTTTGCTATCGTGTGACCACCACCACCCGACCTCGTGTACCCGCGCGCGAATACGCACAACATTGCGTCCCTCTTCGTAACACGATTACTTCCAACTTCTGTTTCCCTTCCTAAACGGTCACGTTCTAGATTCTGTCAATTTCGTCCCGTCGATTGCCAACGCATTGTACGATTTATCAACACCGATAAACAAGCGGATTTCCGCCAACACCATAAACACACTCTTCCTGAGAAATTTCAACTTAAAAACTCGTACATTCGCATCGAATCGAACGAAGCAAAGAGCCTCGAAATAGCCTTCCGACCACCAATTGAAAATTTCTCTGCTCTCTGCTCATTTACAATTCTCACACACCATCCTCTCTCAATCCGATAAATCCCCAAAACTTACTCCTCTCTATTATAATTTCTAAAAAATTTCTCTTTTTTTCGGCCACTTAAGAATACCCGTCAAGAATATCGAGACACTTCCGGTTTTCCTTTTTTCTCTTTTTTTTCTTATATTCAAACGGACGTCTTCGGACAAAGAGCGACTTCCCGCTCAGCGGACGCTCGCTCGTTCAGTTCTCTCCTCCCGAGAACCAGTCGACACTGCTTTTCATTGAGAAGCATCGGGTGCGCGATAGGCTGCCTCGAGGATGCATCGATCCTCGACGAATCGTGTATCAACTACGACGGCACAACCCCCCTCTACCCCCCTTCGTAACTTATTCAGAAGATTCGATTCGAGAATTAGCTAGTCGGTTACACGGTGAGAGAGGTGAGAGCGCGTCCTCCCTCGCGTCTATCTCGACCGGAGATAACTAGTTCGTTCTTACGGATTCGAAGTCGCGTTCGTCGTAGGATTGTTGGGATTGTCCCTCCTATGGTGGCGAAGGGAGAGCCGCGGGCGACCGAGTTTGCGCGCCGTCCGACTTTCTCCCCTTCGACGAACCGCTCTCACTTTCGTTCGGGGTCGCGCCAACTGACACTGGGCGAACAAGAGCAGTATCGACGACCGCGGAGGAGAAGCAGGGGGATGGAGGGGGAGAAGGAGGGAACGCGACGGTTAAAACGATGGAAGAGCCGCGGGAATACGCAAGTCGCGCAAGCGCCGCGAGACGAGTCCAGCTCTCTGCCTCTTGCCCTTCGCTTTCACTCTCTCGTCACGGAACCGGACGAAACGACCCATCCTTTTTTCTTTCTTTCTTTCTTTCTTTCTTTCTTTCTTCCCCCCTCTCCTCTCGACCCGACTTGTACTCCCCAGAATTTCTCGAGACGCTTCTCTCGGCCTCTGAAATTCTCCACTCTCCTGTTCTCCTGTTATTATTCGTGAACAATTTTGTGAACAACGAATTACTACCTGATCTATTCTCTCTACCTGATCTTCCCTCCTCTCACCCGTTTTACGATTATTGGAGGTTGAAAGTTTCGTATAATGGGAGAAGGAAGGGCATTGGCCGGCGGGCAATGAACAAAATCCGAAGAGGCTGAAAGTAAATACGAAAAGTATCGGCGAGAAGAGAAGATGGAAGATTTTTGAGAAAAGGGAGATGGGAAAATTGCTTGTAAATTAATATATAAAGCGTCGTATTTCTTTTAGTTTGGACCCGTGCATTGTTTGGAATCGGCACAAAGATGCGGTGCGAGCATTATTATTGATATCTCTTGTTGTTAAACTTAACACCTCTGAAATAAAATGGAAAATTTAAAGCTTGATTCAGCTTGACACTTTACCGCTTCCCTTTATAAGACTAATATTTCCTCGATTTTCTACCTGTCGTATTTTCCATGCCAATATCTCGTACATCACCGAACATCTCGCCTTTTCAACCGAGAACAAACGAGCCTTCCACGAGGGCAACGAGAAATTGAAATCCGACTTTAGACACCACTTTCATCTTTTGGATTGGCAAAACAGTCGACCTTGTACCTCGTGACAAGGCCCGCGAAAATCGATGCAAGATAGCGAAGGAAAGCGTTGCACGCCTCCCCTCTCTCCCCTCCCAAGCACGGTATACGCTTCGAAAATTTCACGTGCCCTTTCCTCAAAACCCACCCTTCCTTTCTTTCTTTTCATCCCAACGAAACGAAGCTCTTGCTCCCCATTTCTCGAAGCGAAGCGTACAAAAAGAGAGCTGATCGTTCTTTCGTTTCGGTTAAAAGGAGAAAAGAAAAAAGAAAGAGAAGAAAAAAATGTCAAGCCTCACACACGTACATCGCACGTTTCATAATTACGATGGCTTACAGCGTTGCGAAACGCGTGTTGGCGCGTGAAAAAAATTTGGCACGTTCCGATTCGTACACAACGTTTTGGCCGCAACGGTCATCTATGCAATAAACCGTCGTCGAGTTATCTTGTTCGGCTCGAAACGAGGAGGGGGAGAAGAGGGAGGGAGAACCCTTATATCGTTTATCCTCGCCCGTTTCCCTTCCTCGGGGTATAACCTTATAACCGCATCGATTTCGAATTTTCCCCACGACGATAAACCGAAATCGATCCCCGTAAGGGAGCAATAAACTAAATCCGGAAGATTCAGCGAGAGAGAAAAAAGAGGAGAAGAAAAAAAAGAAGAAAGAAAAAGGATCCAGAAGGAAAATTCGAAAGAGAAAGGAGTACGAAATCTAGGAAGGCAACCCTCGGCTCGACTGAACTATAGGAGGAGCCCCTCCTTAGGGGCAAGGGACAAAGAGGGATGTCTTTTTTTTTTTTTATGTGGGGCAAAAGATTCCGCTTGCTCGACGATCATCTTGCTTACTTCTTCCGAGGGTTGGACCCTTTCGACGCGTGTTACGCAAGAAGTGGGGGGTCGAGAGGCGGGGAGGGAATGGCATCGACTCGAAATTATCGTGGGGATAAAGGCGGGATGGAAGAAACGGTAGCCGTTTTATTTGTTTCCCGATGACCGAATACCGTGGCGCGTGTTTGTTTGACCGGTTAAACAGAGTTTAATAGTTCTCCTGCTCTTTTTACTTCGTGTTACCGATTGATGATAATTGGTCAAAATTGTTTTTACCTTTTAAACTTTTTACCATTTGAACCGACACGCTTCGCGATTCTCGATGCAAAATCTTCTCAAACGTAAATAAATTATTCATAAACGTAGCGAATACTTTTGCTATTTTTTTTTTTAATGAACGACGTAAGACGTAACACGTAGATTAAATTTTTTTTATAAAAGTGTATCTATGTTGAGAAAATTTCTAACGAAAAAATTAATAGCCAAGACATACCAAGAATACTAAGTATTCTTTGCAATTTTTTCGCATTCGTCGCGATAAAAAAATACATATACGTAAAAATCAATGAAATAATTTTTTCTTGAACACTTGTTACAATCGAGAAGATGTCCTACGTACACGGACAACAGTGTTAGTTCATTGCCAGCTCTTACGAGCATATATTGCGTCACAATTATTATCGTTGACCAGCTAACACCGCTCTTCTACGTTTCGCGGAAAAACGCGTAATTTACGCGAACTGCGCTACTAGAATTCGCACGACGCGTAACGTGTGCTGCGTTTAAAACGCGTTTCTGAAGATATCTGACGCAAGTTCCGGAGATGCTCGTTGCGATTGCTAAACGTTGCGTCACTTGTGTGCCCTATAGCACAGGTCAAAACGTGAAAAGGGAGGGCGTAGAAGATCTCGATGGGGTAGAATCTTGCCTACTTTGGCAAGATAAATCCGCCTCGTAAAACGCGGAAAAGGCGGTGCTAGTCAGAAGTATCTTCCGTAAACGAAGGGCTGGGAGGAGGAGAAAGAGAGAAAGAGAGAAACGAGCATTGGATTCATTGGATCGATAAGAGGGATCTGCATGCAAGCGTACGGGGGAAAAAAAAAAAAAAAACACGAAGAGCACTTACCTTGCGTGATTAGCGGCGGTGATCGTTCACTTTAGCTAAAAGAGTTCGGTGAACGAAAAATAGGTGTCGTGTGATCGTCTTGTTGGAGGGGATAAATAAACTGAAGGCGTTTTCGAAGCCGTTTGAACTTTCGTTTCTTTCGTTGAAGTATACGCGATATTTGTTTTGTTATTCAGAGGGGAAGAAGAGAGAGAGAGAGAGAGAGAGAGAGAGAGAGAGAGAGAGAGAGAGAGAGAGAGAGAGAGAGAGAGAGAAGAGA